AAGCCAAGCAAATTGTATAAACTTTTGTTAAATATATATACTAAGTAAGCCGTACGGTTTAAACTTAAATCCAAAAAATAAAAAATAGAGTAATATATACAATACACTCACACCCACAATACATATACATACATACATACGTACTCATTGCATGCGCAACATTCCGCCATGATAAAAATTCTTTCAAACCCAATAAAGCCCATTTATGCTGTACATACAAAAGGAAACAAAATCAAGTTAATACTGTTACGTTTTACACATACAAACATCTCAGATTTTAGCTTTAAATGCTGTAAAAAAAAAAAACAAAAACAAAATTCAAAATAATTTCAAAAGCAAATGCAAAATCAACTGCAAATGCAAAAGCAAATGCAAATTTATGAAGAGTAAATGAAAAGTGTCTTAGTCGCTATTAACATAAAAAATATTAAAGCAAGCAGAAACGCATCAAAAAAGCAAAAAAATATGTAAAATACAATTTACAGAGAGCCCTTAATTATTTATATATATATACTTACATATATATAAAACAAATACAATAAATCTAAAATTAATTAAGTTGTTAACGCTTATGTTTTGCAAAGGTAAATTTTTAAATTTTATAAAACCTACAAAATATGATATGAATAGTTGATAAATATTAAAAGAGAAATGAAAAAGAAAAAAAAGAAAGAAAAAATGGGTACCTAGAGCATAAAGAGCAGCAACAAATAACATATTTAAAGAACCACAAGCTAAATATTATATTATTAGCAATTCTATATGTAAATATATATGCATCTACTCACATGCATATATATATAGAAGCTACAGCGTGCCGCATGCACAGAATATACAATATATATACATACGAATATATATATATGTATATAAATATGTAGCTATATATATATATATAATAAAAGAAACAAATTAAATAACAATAAAGAATTATATTGCATATTGTACAAAGCCGTTTGCATTAAATTACTAGTACAGCGTGTGCACTGGTGTATAAGACTCCGAGGTTGGTTAGAAAAGTTTTGTATACTAGAAGAGTACCTACCTATACGTAGAACTAGATACTAGATAATTGTGCTATATATAGTAGGCAGTATCTAACCTTGCTATGTCCGTATTATTGTTCAATCCAAACCGATTTTATGCACAAATCTCGTCCTATTGGACATTGATGTGTCTTCAATCCATCCATCGACATCTACACTCCAATGCACACCACTCAGTAAATTGCACTTGAGTGGTGCACAGCATAATAACAGCCAAGTTAAATTAACAGTAAAACATAGTTTTTAATTAATATTACTGCATGGCTATTTGTGTATCTATTTAAATGTTATCAATGGACTCAATAGGGCATTCAACAAGTACTTGATGCCTCGCATCAGATCCTGCATGCGTGCATCCACCGGCGAAGCGACTAGCATGCGCTGTATGCTCATGCTGCCCAGATCCGGGGATTTGCAGTCCAAGCACTCGATGGCTTTCAGATTCACTTGGGGCGGCGCACTGGAACCAAGAACAAACTGCTCGCGCACATTGTTGGCCAGCAGGCGCGAGTTGTGGAGAGTGCCATAGAATGAGATCCGATCGCCGCGATGCAGTCGCTGCGTGAAATTGCCAAAGTCATGATGGGCACGCAGCACCACGTCCGATGTGGAAATGGCACGTCCCAGCAGACTGCTCGATGTCACCTGAACGACCAGCTCGTACTCGTAGCGATTCCAACGCTCCAGCGTGCAGTGGCCACTCTGCGCACTAAGCATCTTGATCACGCGCTGCCACTCCATACAGTCCTTCTCGTGCTGGGGATTGCATTCGAAATGCTGGGCAATGTTGTCGCCATGCACACAGCGCAACAACTGCCCCAACCAGGTGGGCAGGTAATTGCCAATCACATCCTCCAGTATGTTGAAGACGCGACTGATTTGAACTTGCGACACTTTACCCTCCCAAGCCACAGGCAAGCCATTGAGATGGGAGCAGCGTAGTTGAGCTTTTATTTTGTTCGGCTGATCGTGCACCGGCTGGGCGCAGAGCTCATAGAAGCGCTCCCATTGCAGTGAATCGGAGAGTGAGTGCATGCCCACAGTTGGGCTAGAGAGCACATTGGGTATGGCATTGAACCGAGGAGTATCCTTAAAACTGGACGTCATGTAGGGGAATACCAGCACACATGCGGTAGTTAGTCCCACCAGTAGCTGAAAACGGGAGTAGTTTAATTATAGAGTATTTAAAATATTGGAGTATTAACTCACCTGCAACATGGTGATGTACTTCTGTGTGGAGCGATTAACAGCCATAACGCAGGAGAGCAGCACCACCATGATACAGGCAATGGCCGTGGTGCCCCAGCGTAGATGCTCGCTTGTCAGGCCCAAGCTATCGATGGCAACGAAGACTGGTATCAGCAGAGCCACAATTCCAAACAGCGGCAGGAACAGAACGATGCCAGCCAGGCCGAGAGCTGCTCGCATTGCGCCAAACACCGTCGCGCTCTGAGACGTTACAATGCAAACCTGCAGCCAGCTAAGGGTAACGCAGTGTGGGATTAGGTAAGTGTAGATTCCATGCCAGCTAGAGCGTTTGGCCAGCAGGACAAGTAGGATTGGTATCAGTAGGTAGAGAGCTGTGCGGCAATTGAGGCAGAACTCAATGCCATTGCCAATGACAAACGAGGAGAAGGTGGGTACTCGAAGATCAAGAAAGCGCCAGTGGGTCGAAACAACTTCGTCCAATTCGTACGGATACTTGGCAAGCACGTTGACGGCAAACGAAACGATAACCAGCCAATCCGGTAGCAGCTGCGATGAGGCGTACATAAAGACGCCTAGCGTGATGAATGTGCTAGCTCCCGAGATGATGGTCAGCTCGGAGTGGGGCAGCCAGGCGTCGGCGACCAGCGGATAGACAATTAAGTTACAAATGAAAGCAAAAAAGAAATACAGATACGGTTTCATATTGTTGCGCAGAAAGCGCTGCTCCGAGATCTCGGCCTCGATGTTGTGATCGCCGTAGCTTAGAAATAGGCCAGACCAGATGCGGAAGTCCACAAATTGTTGTTTGGTCTTGAGCATGCGACACGTCGACCAGAGCATCACGCCCAGACTTAAATAGTAGCTAATCATCGGCAGCATATGCCGTTCACTATCCTGTACGCTGCTCCACCAGGTCAACAGCACGAGCACGCTGCAACGTACACTCAGAGGTAGCATGGCGGGCAACGCGACGACCAGGTTGATGAATCGATGGTAGAGTAGCGTGAAGAAAATCAATGGATGAAAGATCATGCGATAGAAACAGGGCACATGATCCAAGCTCTGTGGGTGCGGCACGGACAATGTCAATGTCTCGTTGACGCTGGGCATGCGGCCGGCGGAATAGTTTGAAGCAGCAGATACCAAATGGTCCTCGGTAATGAAGCGACGCCGCTCGACATTTGTACGGCCTATGGTTGTGGCATCTTCTAAAGGCTCGCGCTCGCACTCGCTGGTCTCCTCGTCTGTGTTGGACGAGGAAGCGTCATTGGTGCCGCGGCGTCGTCGTTTCCGCTGTAGATTATAGATGCGTCGCATTTTACGCTCCAGCTGTCTGGGCGTAATGTGCTCGTTGCCATTGGACAGGCAGGCGAAGAGCTCGCGAGCAGCTTTCCTTGCGGCGCGCTCTCCCGCCGTCATGGCCAGGCAGCGACGCACCTCTTCAGCATTTTCAGCCGTAATGCCATTGCCAGCATTGTAGCATTTGCGCAGCAGACACACTGCATCTTCATGGCCTTGCTGTGCGGCACTAACCAGCCAGTGCACCGCTCTTTGGCTCTCCTGGCCATTGGCCATGTTGGGCTCTGCAATAAAGGAGTGGCAATAGCGTTCAGCAGTGCTGCATGCTGCATACCTATGGCATCCTCCAGCAGTTTGCGTCCCAGATCATATTGCACCTGTGGACAGCCCTCCTCTGCAATGTGTTCCTTGAGTTTGTTTAGTGAAGCACGATCTAAGCGCAAATATGAGAGATTCACTTTTCATATACGAAATTGTTGCATTTTGGGTCTGGATTGCCAGGAAATACCTTCGAGATTCCAACGCCTTCGTTTGCTGACACCTGTAGGCGCATTTTGGGTCCAGGTGGC